GGACGACAAGTGTGTTACCGCCACGAAGATCGGACTACATAACTTCTTTGACAGAGGAATTGGTATGGCTTCCTTAATCTCATCATATCGTTCTTAAACCCATCACTTATAGTCTTTAAACTTCCACTCACTTTGAAGCACGATGCGATTACAGTCTTTATAAGTTTCAAACTCAACCAGTATTTTCAGAATCTAATCATTGCTCTGTAGATCATCATACATTCTTTCTCGCTCTTTCACGCTTTATTTTCGCGGAATAGCTCCTGAACATAACATTATTTCTAGTTTCGATTAAAGATTATCTGAAAAATTAAAACAAACAAACTGGGGAAGAAATAAGTTAAACATCAACTGAACTTTATCTCTATTTCTCCAGGCGAAGAATTTTACAGAAGCATTAAACATAAGGAATGCCAAAGAAATAGATTCATTGCAGGTATGCTAAGCTTTTCCCCATAGTGGAAGCTTTTATTACGGTTCACATTTATTTAAACCTTAAAATAAACTCTCTGCACTTCCTGTCATTTGTCAACTGTTAACAAATATACGGTTTAACACATTTTTTGTTTCTCGATTTTTCTCGATTACATTTAACTATTATTCTATCAAACCATTTGTGCATATTAATGGCTTGAACGCAGTTTTTACCACGAGAAAGGTCTGTAATAACATATTTGTAAAGCATAGCTTTCTTTGTCTCTGTTCCAGTATGTCGTCGATTTACTGGAAAGCACCCTGGCTAAGTACCAACAAATATGTTTTCTCGAAGTTCAAAATAACTTGATAACAGAAAGGACACGAAAGATGTCAGTCTACACAACTGTGGATGCCTTCCAGAGCTTTGTTATAACTTATGGCTGGTACCATCTCAACGAATCAATTCCTTTTATAACGAAGACATACGACAAAATCCGAGGTAAGGCGATTTTAAAGTTTGCGATTAAAATGTGATTATTTGAAAAATTATGGCATTTTACATCAGAAAAAAGTCTCCATATCAAATAAGTAATAAATAATTAGCAAAAGAATAAAAATAATAAATGATAATTTTTCCACGGACATTCCACTGGGTGGCTCTTCTTGTCCACTGCTTCCGGATCAAATTGGAATTTGGAATGTTGGTTTCTGCGGAGGGAAGAAAACCGGAGAACCCAGAGAAAAAACCTCGGAGCAAGGACGGGAACCAACAACAAACTCAACCCACATGTGACGCCAGGTCCGGGAATCGAGCCCGGGCCAGAGTGGTGGGAGTGCTCTCACCACTGCGCCATCCCCGCTCCTCCATATGCTAATCTTAAAGGGCTTCTTCGGAGTTGTGCAGCATTTTTGTGCATCTTTGATAAACAATTTTCGGTCAGGAGTCAGAGTCGATCGTGTAGTCTGATTGTATGTCTAAGAATAAGTGATAGTTAAAGTGCACAAACTGCAGTCTAGCGCGCTAAGTACTAGGCCACCTTCTTCCGAGCATACCACTATGAACATGAAAATCCTTCTTCTCAAATCCATTTAGCTCATTCCATATTTGGTATTTTTTTTTTGTATCAAGAGCACTTTTATCAACTATTTAGTGCTTAAATATGAAAAGATAATCCAATCACACAACATGTGCAACAGGGCAAACTCAAAGGTCCAAGTACTACTCTAAGGTGGATTAAAAAGTTTTCTAAATATGCTCTGTATCTAACTTTTTCTAGCAGGAATATGACTTTACTGATTTAGGCAATCACCATGATACGTTTTTTATCTTACTAGTTCTTCGAATCCGGAAAGGTTTTAAGCATGATTCAGTTGGATTTCATATCAGTGAGTCAAGAAGTGGAGCTGTCGACATACCATCCACCAACTTTGAAAGAAACGGTGGGCAAATTACAGCTTACAAGAACTGAGACGAGACACTAAATGACCCTAATGACAATACACTGAGCATTCCAAACCATAAGTAATAGCAACACTGAAAAAAATCAGTGGCCTACAATGCACAGCTACTGGATTATAAGGAGGGAGTCGGCGGTACAGCATGATATACATGATATGATATACATCTTTTTTTTTTTTTTTACCAAAGTCAAGAAGAAAACAAAACAAAACAAAATCTAAACAGGACAAACAAGAAACAAAACAAGAAAAAAAAAACCCGTCAACAGTGATGATAAATGGGATACCAGCCCTAAAAGGCCGCAGCTGCCAGCTCGCCTAAAAACTTTTTCCTAAAAATTGTCTATGATAAAGGGCTGTGTTTTACGAAGAATAGATAATTACCTCTATTTCATCGCGTCAGTGCATTAGATACTAAGAGTGTTCTCCTAGCATTAGCGTGCGGAATCTGAATTTTACACTTGAGTTGCAGTTCAATTCGTATATCATTTATTTTATAAATTTAGGCTCAGTAGTGGTTGGAATAGTATACAAAGATCTGCACGAGCTACTCAGAACACGTTACTCTACTAACACTACAAACGGTAATAGAAGGTAAAGTTTAGAGTACGTTTGCGATAATATTATCACTGTACGCTGATACGGACTTTTCATTGTATACCTCGGAGAACTTATTAAGAAATGGACCTTCTGGGTGAACTTGCCTGTTATTTGAAACTCACGATCAGTAAGCACTAATTCTTAACCGAAATGACTCGGTTTCTCGATCATTTTAATTTCTCTTGGCTAATTTCCAGTCTCTTTATCTCTGTCGTTGTACAACTCTTAGCAGTCTAATAATTGCAAGTGCCATGGATCCCAAGCCAGGACAGTTAAAAAGGAATGTTCTCTTGAAGTTTACAAACCAAGAGGTAAATAAAAATGGTCAAACATTCAGAAAATAAATCGAATGAGTTGATAGTTGGTATGAAACACCTAAAATAATATGTGCTATCATTTATCCCATTTTTACTGTTAATGATTGTTTTGACTGAAAACAATAAAGACATGTCGTCAATCTTTTAGATCAACAATCCCAACAGGATTTGTGTCTTTTGGGAAGGATTTCAGGAGGAAACGTAAGAATTGATACTTTTCTTTAAAACGTTTCCTCCATGTTTTCATCGTTATTTATAATTAGACGTGACCCTCGCCTCTCCATTCTTGAAGCAAATCTTTCATTAGAATATCTTTTGTCCTTCCATACAGAGTATAAGTCCCAAGTAATTGAAATCCTATTCCGGTCATTAAACTTTTAGGACACGCTCGTTGCAATTGTAGGTGATAAAAAGTTTCTCGTTAACCAAAACTGGTAAAGAAATATCCTTATAAATTCGAGCTCGTAGAGTGCACTAGAGGGCTATAAGTAGGTAAAAAATATAGCGAAATGCAATGTACGATTCAATTTACCATGGAGAAGAGAGGGACAACAGTTTTTTCTTTTTTTATGTTGATGCAGTTTACATTCATTCCGTCATTTATTAGCACCTTTAAGAGCTAGACAGAACTTTCACGCAATAGTTGAAGAAAAAGGTACACCAAGTCAACCAATTTGGGTTAGGTGTCTTCTCATGGCTTCACGCATAACGTCATTGTGCTTTTTTTTTTCTAGTTCCAACGGGTGGTCAAACAAGGGCTGCCATGAAGTAGTATCGGAAAGGAGCCTACAAGAAACTGTGTGCAGCTGCAATCATTTGACCCATTTTGCAGTTTTGTTTGACTTTGGTGACACTGTGGGAGGGGTAATTTTGGTCTGTTTTTAAACATTTTACCAAAGGTTGCTAATCCATTTCATCATTTCTAGACAAACAGTAGTCTTGGGTTCAAACGTCGCTATCAAGATCAAAATTAAGAGTCGACATGATAATAATTTGCTGTTCTCTTTAATCACTGTAGTTCGCAACCTTTTCTTGGATTCTTAATGTGGAGACATCGTGTCGAACCTGTTTCTAGGAAGATGATTACGGCGATGGTACTCTCATTAAATTTGCTTAGATCGTCGCAAGAAGGAGTAAAACCGGAAGCTCCTATTTTGAATAATCGAAAATAACTGCAAATTTATTATATTTTAATGCCGTTCACAGGATGAAAAACACTTTCAATAAGCAATTAACCAAGTATTGACTTTCAGACACATCGTAATCTACTAATGTATAATTTTGATGAGTTTTTGTCTATTTGTAGGGCATGTCACCTATCACAAAAACAGATGAGAAGACTCTGACAACTCTTACCTACATTGGATTGACCCTGTCGATAGTCGGAATAATTCTGACAATAATCTCCTATGCTCTTTTCACGTAGGAAAATTCGTTTCAGTAATCACATTCTTAGCTTATTACGCAATTCTCCCAAAAAACAATAGACCATTTCATTGCCTTTCCTGTGCAGAAGCGTATTACATGTAGCGGTTGCTTTTCTGCTTTCTCTTCTATCTACAGCGATGTGCGTCAACCGCTGTCCCAAGTAAGGTTGAGTCTCGCTGCCTCTTTGGGAACTGGTCAGATAGTTTTTCTGGCTGGTATTAATGCTACGGGTAACGAGGTAAAAAAAAAATCGTTTAAATACCGAGTAAAACCCTCCCTGCGAAAGACTGCCTCATAAGGCAAACACTAATGCAGTTATGCTGCACTGAACAATTTCCATCATTATATCTTATCTGATCGTTGTTCTTTACAATTTTCGCCCACTCTCATCTAAAATTTTACAGTAACTGAACATCTAGGCGCTACTCAATCCATAGGGTGTCTGCGTTGCAGTGGCTTCCTTGATACAGTACTTCTTTATGTCAGCTTTCTGTTGGATGCTTGTGGAGGGAATTTTTCTCTACATGTTCGTTGTAAAAGTCTACAATATCGAAGGTAGAATGGCTATCTATCACATTTTTTCATGGGGTGAGTTACACGCTATTAACATTCATATTGTTTTTTTTTGGTTGTTGTTTTTTTTTTCTTTCAAATGTAAATAGGGTATTTGATTTTGTTACCTAACTTTTATTTGCTGCAGGTCTTCCAGCCATAATGGTCAGTATCTCCCTAACAATTGCCTCAGCGATAGACGGTATTCATAGCTTTGTCGGCGAGAAATAGTAAGTGCTGTATTTTTAAAAAAAAACTTTATTTCAAATTATCTGAACGATAGTTCATTCGGAAGGTTAACAAAGCGAAACGAGGACTGTTGCTTTGCGATTAATGCTATTCTTTTTTTTCTCTAACTAAGCTGTTGGTTGTCCCAAGCTAACCATTTGATTTGGATTTTTGCTGCCTTGTTAGTGATTGTGGAAGTCGTAAGTAGTATAGTAACTAATACGGGAAGAGTTAATTAAGTTTTTAAAATACTTTTGTAAAACTTTTGTGGGTACCAGGTTAGGGTTTACTGTACCTGTATATTCGATAATGCTCTATTAAGGGTGACCAGCTGCAGGTTATGCATATGATCTTTCTGTCTTAGAACTTGAAAAAAAAAAGAAACAAAATTCATTAAAAAAAAACAAAAAACATAGCAACAACAACAACAATAACACGCTGAAACTGACCAGTCAGCTTTATTGCCGGTGGGCATTTCATATTGTTAAAAAGTTTCCTGGACCTGACAATGAAGTACGCGCAAAATTAAAAAAACAAAGCGTCGATATCGACATTAGTCGTGTTCTGTAGTAGTTTTTAAGCTTAAAAAAGAAAAAAAAAAACTAGCTCGTTCGTGCTTTATCTTCCAGATTATTGATATGAAAAGTATTTACATTCCTGCAAATTGTATATATACTGAGGGAGCCTTAGGATATGATCGTGTTCCACCTACTAATGAGATGTACTTCGAATCCTTTATCAAGGCCAATGTGTTGGTTCTGGCAAGAGTTATCAGAGAAATCATCAGAATGCAATCACCCGAGGAAAATCATCAGATACGGTAAGAGACAGAATGACTATAAGCAAGAGACTATAATCCCTTCCCATAAGGTACACCAAAAATCAAACAAACAAACAAACAAACTACAATTGGGTTGTATGTGGGTTTATAGGCAGAAAGCGGAGCTACGCCATTGGTGGAAACATGGCGACGAGAAAAACAGGAATAAATTAGAGGAATGACAACTAGAGCGTTCGTTGATACCTGTGCAGTTAAGAGGGCCGATTTCAAAGAAAAACTTCTCTTTAAGAGTTTTACGGCTTTCCGTGTTGTATAAATGTAAGGAAAGACCGCAGATTGCCATATGTTGTTTAGAATGATTAGGTAACTTAAGGTGTCTAGCGAATGGWTTTGATGCGTCCTTGTCATTCCTTTCTACGTCGCGGTGTTCTCGGAATCGGTTACCTAGTCGTCTTCCTGTTTCGTCGATGTATAACTTTTTGCCATAAGTGCAAGTTATGCAATGGATTACGTTGGAGGAGGTGCACGTGAAGTGATCGGTGATCTTAATGGATCGCTTGGGTCCCGATATTTTCTCAGCGTTGTGAATGAAAGGACCAGTTTTGCATCGTGCGCGAGCGCACTTAAGAATGCTGGTTTGGTCATTATTTTGGAATGAACTTCTGACTAAGAAAAATTGCCTCTGTTTTTGTCGCGTTTGTATGAAATA